GAGAGAGCTAAAAACCCTGAGTAGCTAAAGGAGCTGATACCGAGAAGCCTGGCCGTAATACTTAAAAGCTGCAGTAGGGTAACTTTTGTTGAAAATAAATTTTTGTCATACTTTGCGTGAGAAGCAGCTGGTTCACGGTAGTATCCTGGACAGTGACGTACATTGAGACAGGGGATAATTTGTGAAAAGAAGCAGGTTCCTCTGGCCTGCGTACTAGTGTCTCACTAATGGGCATTTTCAAGGAATCCAACCAGCGCGCTTGAAAACCCACAAGCTGAACGCATCGCTGATATTCAGAGAAGCAAAAACAACCAATCAAGAGGCCGACGAAAGCATAGACCAGTAGTACATGAGACAGATAATTTGTGAAAAAAGCAGGTTCCTCTGGCTCCTACTAGTGCTCATAATGGCATTTTCAAGAATCCACCAGGCCTGAACGAAAACAACCAATCAGAGCTGAGAAAGACATTAAGAGGCTTTTGACTGGTGGCTTGAAGATAGTTGATTGGTGAGTCTCTTTCCCAGCATCGATATTTGACAACCTGGGAATGTGACTGAACAATCAACCTTCTCTCTTTCAGTGTTTAGTCTATGAAATATAAAAAAATTATCTTGCAAAATGCTCATCAGTTTTCCAGAGCCCAGTGTTACTGACATTTAAGAAGCTGGAACCAGCAAATGTTTTGAGGCGATTAAAAATGGGATGAGGCTCAAAACCAAAATACTATACGCACTATTATTAATATAGTATCCATTAATACTAAAAACATTTAAACAGAATGGAGTCCTATGCAAGGTCACCACAAAGTACAGCCTCAAAAATGACCATACAGTTGAGTCAATGGAACATTTTGTGTTATATTTATCATGGTGTTGCAGGGTCTTAAAAAGTTTTTTAGGCCTTAAAATTTTCTAAATATGACTTTGACAGGTCTTAAACTTTTAGCTTTGTTAATGTTACTTGTATAATATTGCACTTGTCTCCCTTTTAAATGTACTTTTGGAATAATATATAATATATATACATATATATATATATATATGTATATATATAATATTCATCATGCTGTAACAGCTACCAAACCAATACCAATACCAACAAAACAGATACCAATTTTCTATCTATTCTTCGTTTTTTTTTCCCTTTATTGTGAGATAGGTCTTAAATTTCATTTATAATTGTCTTAAAAAGGTCTTAAAAAGTTTTAAATTCAACCTGTTGGAACCTGCAGAAACCCTGATTTGTTGTAGGCCTATAATCCTGCATTGCATTAAATCATGCAGGTATTTCTATTTTTCTGGGCACTCTGTGTTATATGAATAAATGGCAGACATATACATTGGCCTTTCTGACCATGTAAAGAACCAACCCCGTGTTAAATATGCAGATTTCTCAGTTCAGTTATGTCACCTTGCGATGCAACATCAGTAGATTTCCTACACCTTTAATGTCAGGTTACTACGAAAACCAATGGACCTGGCTGCTATAGTGTCCATATCCAAAAGATTGTAACATTGAATAGGATTAGTTTAAGAAAAAACAGTAAAAACAAACATGTAAATAGTGGTAAAAGCAAATTCCATTGCAGTCTTCATGTGTGTATAAAGGTAGATGCATACTGTATATCAGTGTTAACAACAGACCCTTCTTCTCTCCCTGTGTGTAATGCTGTATTGTCCTATCCAGGCCATGTTAGATGCAGCGCGGTTGGTCAGACCCAATCTGTATGTGATAGCTGAACTGTTTACAGGCAGCGAGCTCATTGACAATGTGTTTGTTAACCGGCTGGGAATTAGCAGCCTCATACGAGGTACAACTCTCATGCATGACCTAACTTTGTGTTTTTGTCTTCTCTTCTTACTGCATTGTTCTGCATTCTTCTTCTTCACAACCAAACATCCCCTCCCTCTCTCTTTACCTCTTCACTCTTACTCACCACTCTGTATGACTGCATGGTGTGGTTACTTTGAGGCTTGTTATCACTAACTGGCTGCATCCCCTTCACATTAACTCTCCTCCTCCTCCTCCTCCTCCTCCTCTTTCTCATCTCTTCCCCAACTTCCTCCTCCTTCTCTCTCTTCCTTTGTCCAAATCATGACCTCTTGCACTGGACTGCACTGGTGTTGCCTTGCTGTGGTTGACCAGTTCATGCTGGACGTGGCCAGAACAGTTTGTCCTAACCTGTATGTGGTGGCTGAACTGTTCACCGGCAGCGAGGAGCTGGATAATATCTTCGTAACTAAGCTAGGGATCACATCGCTCATACGAGGTACAGTAATCGCTATGTTCACAATGCACTACACACACCTACATACTATATCTCAGTATTTTGGTCATTTCTGTGAAGGAAAAGGAAATTGTTATTTTTAAAGTTTAGATTATTAGATATAAACCGGATAAGGGGTGAAGACCTGAGCCAAGCCTTCAGCCATGGTGACAGGTTTAAGATGCAGGCTCCCCCTTGTGGCAGTTTAAACAAATCAATTACTCATCATAATTTTCTAATTATTATATATATATATGCCAGAAATCTTGTTAAATGTAACATTTAAAAACATGTGAGAAAATAGAGAATTTTCTGGACCAGTCATGCCTGTGAGCTCCAAATGTATTTACTAAAGATAAGCTTGTGTCCATCAGCTCTCAAAACCACCTGCACTGCCAGACTGGAATGTTGGAATTGTGTGAAGTCGCTCACCGTGCTGCAGCAGTATGGAGTGTGTTGTGATAACCACCCTCCCTCTCATGAACTTTTCCTCCTCCCCCACCCTGTCCATAGAGGCCATGTCAGCTGGCGACAGCCACGAAGAAGGCAGATTGGTGTACCGTTATGGAGGTGAGCCGGTTGGAGCTCTTGTTCAGCCCAGTCTCCGCCCACTGATGCCCTCCATCGCCCATGCCATGTTCCTTGATGTAACCCATGACAACGAGTGTCCCATACAGGTGGGTCTCTGTCAAGGTCAGGTTAGGGTGGAGTTTTATGACTGAAAATGCTTCTTTATATATATATACACACTATATAATATATATAACTATATAATATCTAAGCTATGTTTGTGGGTTTTCCTTACCATATTCAATTCCTGTCATTCCAGCAATGTATAAAATTCCAATTTAATAGTAGCCTTCATTCTGTTGCTGCTTTCACTATTTTTACCTGCTCAAATAAATAGAAAGTAAAACATGAGATAATAGCCAAACAGTCAAAAAGTAAGTGCGATAGGGTCACTGTGTTGCAATGTAACTATCTAGATGTCTACTGTGTGTAGATGTGTAACTGCTGCCTCTCTATGTTATACAGCTGCGTTCAGCACTGGACTCCCTCCCCAGCTCTGCTATGGTCTCTATGGCCTGCTGCGCTACTGGATCCACCAGAGGATATGATGAATTAGTGCCACATCAGGTTATTCACAAACACACATACACAAGCTATTAATTCAATTCAATTCAAT